CCAAACTGTCTGGGCCACCCCCCAACTTTGGCTTCAGGACTGCGGAAGCATCTCCTGCATTAGGCTGCATCCAGGAGAGAGGGACTAAGGGATTTCGTTTAGAAATAGGGGCAGGGGCTGGGTGTTGGGCTTGTCAGTGCGTAGGTGAGTGTTGACATACATCACCTCACACACCTGATGAAGGAAAGAGGCGACAGGCTCGGAACCTAAGCGGGCAGAGAGACACTTTGTCTCCCTTTCAGATGGGCCCGGGCTACTACGAGTCTACATTTCACTTGTCCAGTTTGAATTAGCAAGTAATGAAGTCACACAAGCAGAAGCTGCTGCTCGTGATTATAAGACCCTTAGAACTATCCCGCTGGACTTCAGAGGGCAACAAGCCTGGCTCCCCTCTCTCTCGGGTCTTCCTTCATCTCTGTCACGGGATATTGGCCTGCGCATGTTGAAATTGTGAAAAGCGTCAAGTCCATGAGAAGTACCAGCTTGATAAACGTAAGTCTGCATGATTCCTCCCGAGTATCTGTGTGAAAAGTAAACTTGCGGCCGGGCGCAGTGGCTCACGCCTGTAACCCCAGCACCTTGGGAGGCTGAGGCAGGTGGATCCCCTGAGGTAGGGAGCTTGAGACCAGCCTGACCAATGTGGAGAAACTCTGACTCTACTAGGAATACAAAATTAGCCGGGCGTGGTGGCTCATGCCTGTAATCCCAGCTACTCTGAGGCAGCAGAATCGCTTGAACCTGGGTGGCTGAGGTTGTGGTGAGTCCAGATCGCGCCATTGCACTCCAGCCTGGGCAACAAGAGCGAAACTCCGTCTCAAAACAAAAATGTAAACTTGCTGTCTGTGAGGGGAATTGGGATCTGCTCCCGTAAAATGGGAGGGGTGACCTGGGGGCTCTTCTTGCCCTAACGGCAAGCAATTGCCCGTCCTCTGGGTTCCTTCCACCCCTGCAGCCTGCTGGAACCTGCTGTGGCAGCAGCATCTCGCGCGGCCGCTGCGTGCTGGGTTGTTCCATCCACAGCAAGATGGGCCGTGCTGGTCAGGGCCCCACGGAAAAAGCACAAATAAATCAAACACCAGCTCCCACTTAAGATCTGATGAAATTCTCCATTTCCGCTCCAAACTGAATTCCTCCCGAAGGATGGGAGCAGCTCTGGGAGTAATGAAGGCACTCCTTCCTCCTCTGCTAGAAACATGTTTTAGATTAACAGACGCAGCCTTCTAATCTGGGTGGGTAGGTAGCGTTCAGGAACAGCCTTGAGAAAGTGTTTTCAGACCAGACATGATATTTTTAATCTCGAGGGGCAAGGCGGCAGACGCGCAACACGCTTGGCCTCGGCGGCGGAGGCGGCCCCAGAGGTGGTCTCCTGGGGAGGAGTGACAACGTGGGAGTGTGGCTGCAAGCCACAAGCCACCCCTCCTGCCACCTCCTCTCCTCCACCACTTGGAGCCAAGAAGAATTTATGGTGGGGAATAGAAGCGAGAGGGCTTGTGCTTTTTGAGATTTGAAATATCACTTTCCTTCCCATCTCTTATTTGGGAAAAATAGTACACTGTGGTTAAAAAAAAAACATGAAAGAAACGTTTTTAGGATGAAGATGTCATTGAAGTGATTATCTTCCATTCTCTGTAATGGTGATGAATCGACAGTCTGGCATTTGTAGAGGCATTTGACACCGACTCTTTCAGGGGGAAAAAAAGAAACAATTTTCCAGTGAACCTTGTCAGGGGGAAGACTGATCACCGGCAGGCCGGCTCGGACCCTGAGCATAGTTCCAAGAAGACAGGGATGAGGAGGAGCCAGGCCGGGTGCAGGGATGAGGAGGAGCCGGGCCGGGTGCAGGGATGAGGAGGAGCCGGGCCGCGTGCAGGGATGAGGGGGAGCCGGGCCGGGTGCAGGGATGAGGGGGAGCCGGGCCGGGTGCAGGGATGAGGGGGAGCCGGGCCGGGCGGGTGAGGGGGGGGGGGTGAGGGGGGGGAGCCGGGCCGGGTGCAGGGATGAGGGGGAGCCGGGCCGGGTGCAGGGATGAGGGGGAGCCGGGCCGGGTGCAGGGATGAGGGGAGCCGGGGTGCAGGGGGCCGGGCCGGTGCAGGGATGAGGGGGAGCCGGGCCGGGTGGAGGGATGAGGGGGAGCCGGGCCGGGTGCAGGGATGAGGGGGAGCCGGGCCGGGTGCAGGGATGAGGGGGAGCCGGGCCGGGTGCAGGGATGAGGGGGAGCCGGGCCGGGTGCAGGGATGAGGGGGAGCCGGGCCGGGTGCAGGGATGAGGGGGAGCCGGGCCGGGTGCAGGGATGAGGGGGAGCCGGGCCGGGTGCAGGGATGAGGAGGAGCCGGGCTGGGCTGGTGAGTCGAGGCTGAGGTAGGAGTGCAGTGTTCTACAGGTCCATTCTGTTTCGAGGGTGGACATGAGATAGATTATCTGTTGAGAAAGAAATACTTAACATTATTCCTTGAAGTGAGCTAAAGAAAATTACTTTTCTTCACTCACCGTTGAAAAAAAAGCAGTCTAAAAAAAGATAAGAGGTTAAATCTACTTAACATGAGAAATTCAGACATTTAGGATCCGAGGGAGGGAAGGAAATTCTCCTTGAGAGAATATTCTGTTGGTCCTTTTATGTCAGAATTTTGTCAGCAGCCTCTAAGAAAGGTTATCAAAACCTCATCCACGTGTTTGGTTTCCGTTTAAAAAGAAGCCTTTTCCTTCACAGGGAAATAGCCCCAGAGTATCCAGTAAGGCAGACCCAACCTCAGAGGCCGCACGGCCCGGGAGGCTTTCGAGTCAGGGTCCCGGCGGAAAACTGCTTTTCAGGGAGAAGGTCCTGTTTCCACAGAGAGTGCGGTCATTTCTACGGTTAACGCCCTTCCTCCCGAGCCGCAGGATGTTCGGGACCTTCAGGCGTGGCCTCCCTCAGGGCGGTGGGAAGTGCATTTACCCCCGACTCCGAAGAAAGGACTGAAGATGGCAAAGGGGACGTTTAGGTGGAATTCTGGCAACGCCGGGGCCTGTCCCGAGGCCAGCAGGATGGACCCAGGCCAGGTGGTGTCTCCAGAACACTGAAGGGTGGGGAGGGAAGTCTGGTGCAGACAGCAAGGACTGCTCAAGGGGAAAATGAAAGGGTGGGAGAAAGAAGTGCCACCCCCACACGGCTGCTATTGTGCCTTCCCTCAGCCCTCGCAGCCTTTTATGTTTGCATCAACGGGCCCTGGTGAGGCTTCCGCGCTGGCACAGAAGCGCGGGCAGGTCCCCGGACAGCGGAGGCTTTTTCTCCGTGAAGTCTCAGAGCGATTTCGCAGTCGTCCACTCCCAGAAGCTTCCTGGCCGGAGTCCGCCCTCCAGTCTCGGGAAGGACGTGCACGTCTGTCTCTCTGGCCGCGGACCCTGCCCACGCAGGCTTGCCCTCCAGCCTGTTTATAAGGCCTGAAGTTACTTCTGTTTTGTTTTAGCCCAAAGGGTGAACTGCTGCCAGCAGTATGTCTGGAATGTTATTTACTTGGTACATTTCTGTGGCTTTTCTTTGTAGCATTGCACATGCCAGAGCCATTTACTTGAAAATGCCAGGTTGCACAGTTTGTCTTCTCGACGGGGTGACTTTCTCAGTTAGGGGAGTTTAGTTTCTGTGTCTCTCAGCTTCTTCCTTCCTTCCTTGTTTTTTTCCCCCGAGTTAGTGCTCTGAGCAATACTGTTGGTGCCTGTTGCATCGCACCCTTTTGTCCTGAGTGCCCCAACTCCACTTGTAATTTCTGGGGTTTCTGGTGTCCTCTTCAGAGCGCCTGGCAGACGCTTTTTCATTTGCCTGCCTGCCCTGTTATTACTTCACATGAAAGCTGTCTGTTTTGGCGGACGTGACTGTCATGATTGCAGCTGAGCTCTGAGCTGAATGGGTGATGTTGTGTAAGGGAGCTCAAGGTGGGCTTTTCTCCGGTGGTGGCCGTGGGAGTGGAAGAAAAACCTGCGAGCCGTCTTGGCTTGTGCCGAGCTGACATGATGGCAAACAAATGACTTTTGAAGGGAGGAACCGGTGTGTACAGTCTCCCAATTTGGAAGGTTTCGCAACTGTTTTTGTTCAACTGAAGGAGGAGAGAGTTTGTAAGGGCAAATTCTTCATTAGGAAGACTGTAAACAAGTCCTGGAAAAAGGATAATTGCTGAAGGAGGAGGCATGGAAGGTATTTGACGGGCCTCTTTCGTCAGCTCCCCTTTTTCCCATGTCATCTATGCAGTTTTAATGGTGGTATTTTGGGTTTTAACACAAGGTATGGAAAATGAGATTAGCTAAATCTCCCTGTCTGGTGCCAGTCCTGGGGCCGTTTGCACACCTGGGTGGGATAACTCCCTGCTTTCTCTCTCTCTCTCAGCACACGTTTGTTCTGTCATGTGAGTCCATAAGCACTTGCAGATACGACGGAAAGCTTGGCCCTGCACAGGCGCGGCCTTTATTTGGGCCTCCTGGAACCCTCGGCCCTCCCCAGCAGCTGCCGGTGTGTTCACATCAGAGCCGGCCCCCGTGCAGAATGGAACGTTTTTGCTCCGTTCTTCTCGGCTTTTTCTGTCCTTCTGTGTGACTTCTCAATTTGTTTGTAAGCTGCTCAGATTTTTGGCTGAAGGGTCTTCTTTGATCTCTCTTCTGACGGCATAAGCTTCACACGGTCACACCTGCTCTTCTTTTACAGTCCAGGTTTCAGAGGAAATGCTTCCACTGCCTTGTAATTTTTTTTTTTTTTTTTTGAGTGTAAAACTTTGGTGCAGGTTACTTATTACAGGTAATAGCCGTTTGATGATGGAGAAAACTGCTTGGCAGAAACGGCCACCTGAACTGCAGCCAGAAACCTAAACTGCCGCTTTATTTATGTCTGAAAGCATCTAAGCCACAAGCCTATCAGTCATGATCTAGCATGCACATGATAATAACAGGCTCGCCAGGCTAGGAAAGCTGCCCCATGGGATGGCCGGGAGGACAGGCTCTAACAAGACTCTGTACATCTTCTCCCCCATTCTCCACAGCCCACACATCATGTTCCTCTCTCAGAGCATCTTGACAGGAGGGAGCCATCTCTGTGGGACCCGCCTCTGCCATGAAATCGCCCACGCCTGGTTTGGCCTCGCCCTCGGGGCCCGCGACTGGACGGAGGAGTGGCTGAGCGAAGGCTTCGCCTCTCACTTGGAGGATGTGTTTTGGGCTGCAGCACAGCAGGTGGGTTAAGGTGACCCTAAGCCTCTCACTGCCCAGAGTCAAATTCCGTTTCTGGTCATTTGCTCACCCAGCAGCTGTGGACTGAGGGCCTGCTGTGCACTAGGCACAGACGTCGTGGGGAGATGGCTGCATAAACAAGCGAGGGAAGCCCCTGTTCCCCACAGGATGTGAAATCTAGAGGTGGGGAGAGTAGACAAGTGGATCAGCAGTGGGTCCAGTGTGGGAGGCCAGTCGTCTCCTTCTGTGGAGAGAAATGAGCCCCAGAGAGGGGCAGCGGGTCCTCTTTTAGAAGCAGTAAGCGAAGGCCGCTCTGATAAGGAGATATTTGAGCAGAGATGTGAAGAGAGGTCATGCTATGGCATACTCAAGCACTTCTTTGTGGTTGTGATTGTGGTGGCGTGTGTGTGCGTTGTGTGTGTGTGTGCATCGTGTGTGTGTGTGTTTTAAATAAAGAGATTAAAACGTAAATCCAGAATCATCTCAGATATCTGCTCACAAGTAATAAATGAAGAATGAAGCAGGGGTGGTATAGATTAGGGAATGGTGAGGACTGTGGCAGACTGACAGCTGCTGCTCAGCTCTAACCAGTTGTCATGGTGAAGGGAGGAGGGCTCAATATAACCTACACTATTAGTTTTTTAAGGTAGTTTATAATTCTGAACTTTTATGTGAAGTTTACTAATTTAAAAAATACCATGCAAGACAAACATACCCGAAGCCAAACCTGGTGCACACACTCCCAGTTTGCAACCTCTACCTTAAAGCATTCTAGTGAGGATAATAAGCAGCTGAACTGCCTTGTGCTTACTTTCAAGTTCCTAATTTATTTATTTTATTTATTTTATTTTATTTTATTTTATTTATTTTTTTAGACAGAGTCTTGCTCTGTCGCCCAGGCTGGAGTGCAGTGGCACGATCTTGGCTCACTGCAACCTCCACCTCCTGCGTTCAAGCGATTGTTCTGCCTCAGCCTCCTGAGTAGCTGGGATGACAGGCACACGCCACCACACCTGGCTAATTTTTGTATTTTTAGTAGAGACAGAGTTTCACCATATTGGCCAGGATGGTCTCGAACTCCTGACCTCGTGATCCGCCCACCTCGGCCTCCCAAAGTGCTGGGATTACAGGTGTGAGTCACCATGTTCAGCCTCAACTTCCTAATATGCGGGTCACTCTTTTTCCCCTGTCATCCTTGTCCCTTATACACTGTGCTATTTGGCATTTTCCAAAATTCCCAGGTTTGTGCATACCTGCATGATATTGTTCAAGATCCTTTGTCTGTTGAAATCTTATTTATTTTTCACTAACCAGCTGGAGGTCACCTTCTCTAGATAGCCCAGACTGATTACCTGACTCACAATTCAGCACTGCCCTCCTATACACTGTGGGTTCTCACGATACGTGGTACTTACCTTTTTAAACTTATTGTTCTGTTTTCTTTTCCTTCTACTATGTCATTTCCTTATCCTCGTACCTGGACTATGACTGCTTCAAATTGGAGCTGGGTCTTGCTTTTCTTACCCTGGCCATGGACCCAGCAGTGTTCTCATCAGTGTCCGCTGCTACATGGAGTCCTGTGAGGAGAGGCCACATGACAGACACAGAAAAGGCTCTGGGCTCTGAGTCAGAAAGACTGACTTCCGGTCCTGGCTCTGCCGTTCACCGGCTCTGAGTGTAGGTCGGTTAGGTAGCCTCCCCAAACCTCCGCTTCCCCATTTGTAGAATGGATATTAGAATGCCGAAGCTTGCGGGGTGAATGGGATCAGGTGTGAAGGAGCTTAGCACAGTGCCCGACACGTGGAGAGTGTGCAAGAAATACCTGTTGCCTTCCTCTCTGTGTCTCCCTCCGCCTTACACACAGGCACTCAGCAGGGGTTTAATGTGAATGTACCTCTATCACCATCTCTTCCCCGGAGTGCCTCCCTTCGGAGACGATCCGATCTGAGCGGGTCCTGGAGTTGTCATGCGTTCCGGGCGTCTGATCATGACACCTCCGGCTTTGATCTCCTGCATCCCCAGAGTGCTCCTCCTTAGCCTTCCCTCTGCCTAGACTTCTAGGAGGCCACTCCTTCGTCTGCTGGCTTGGTCCTGCCTCTTGACTGATAAGTTTGCAAAGAGAAGTAAACACCAAGTATCGTCAGAATTCCGAGGTAGGAGAGGACAGGCCTGGGCGGGCCCAGAAAGCCTTTGTGGCTTCTGTTGTGAGCCTAAAGGGACAGCAGGAGCTGAGCTTTCTCTGTTGCTCCTTTCCCTTAACATGATAGGGGTCAGCCCCTCATCATCCTCGGAGGTACCTGCAGTAACTCTTCAAGATGTGAAAACATGAACACCCCTGAGGCAAAACGGCCGTTCTAGATTCCAGCACAAAGTCTGAGACGTTTCCAGAGCACGTCCGCCAGGCTGACCTCTCCCTTCAGTGGCGAGACTGAGTTGTTGCTGGCCCTGGCGAGTGCCAGCCTCAGACCGTCCAGGGAGTGGGGGGGCACCCTGTGGGGCAGGGGTGGGTGTGCCACCTCCCGGGCTGCTCTTGGCCCGCAGGCCCCACCAGAGATCAGGGATGAGGACACAGGGTGACGGGGTCACCGGGGTCACCTCGCTGCCTGGGAGACTGTGCCCTGCAGCACTGAGCAGTAGGAAGCGTGGCGGGGCTGGGGGTGGGGTGCGGGGACATGTGAAATCCCAGGGAGATGGAGACCACCATCCACTCAGAGAGGCATCCGCAGGGATCTGTGAATTGAGTCAGTCGCAAGGTTGGATGGTGTAGCTTGTCATCAATCTGGAGAAAGTCTAAATGCCTTCACAGGCGTAGCAGTGTGCTCGGGCTGCCATAATAAATCCCAGAGACTGGGTGATTTAAGCAACAGACGTTTATTTCTCACGGTTCTGAAGGCTGGAGGTCAAAGGCCAAGGTGCCAACAGGGTTGGTTTTTGGTGAGGTCCCTCACTCTTCCTCGCTTGCAGACGGCCAGAAGCTGCTTTTTCTCTGCGTTCTCACACGGCCTTTCCTCTGGCATGCAGAGAGAAAGAACACTCTGTTAGCTCTTCCTCTTCTTAGAAGAACACCTGCCCTGTAGGATTAGGGCCCCACTCATGACTTACTTAACCTTAATGACCTCCTTGAAGGCCCTGTCTCCAAACACAGTCACACCGGGGTAAGGCCTTCAACACGTATATTTTGCGGAGACGCAGTTCAGTCCGTAACAGCAGGCACGTGGGGTCTGAGGATCATCCGGCCTCGGCCAGCTTCCCTGCACCTCACTCCCTCCCAGAACGGTCGTCTGCTCTGGGTCTGACGTACGCCTTGCCGTTCTCTAAGCACATCACACCCTTGCCTGGCCCAACGTGCCCTGCAAGTGCTTTCCCTCTTCCCGAAATCCCTCCTCCCCGGCCGACTCCTGCCTCCCTGAGCACCAGCGCTGCCACCACCCCCTCCTCAGGAAGCCCTGGTGGGCAAGGGGGCATCTGGGTTCCCCCGTCACCTCTCCCGTCACCCGCTCTCTGATGTTAGTTTTCCTGCCATCTCTCCCTCCCCTGGCTGCTCCCCGAGGCCCTGTCTGTATTGTCGCCAGGGCCTGGCAGAGACTCAGTAGATATCTGTTGAAGCAATTATCAGGAACGTTTGATTTCCAGAAACACCCGTGGATAGACGTCTTCCGTCCCTAGTGGGTGCTCTGCTGCCCGCCCTCCCTCACAGAGGTCCGGGCCGTGTGGCCCAGTGAGCACACCATGGGACGGCAGTGGGTTCTGGCTCAGTAGGGCAGTGTGACGGCCTCCCCTCCCCCAGAGTCAGTCCAGGCAGCACTTGTAGTTATGTGCACACAGAACCATCTGGGTTGCATTAGCAGGCCCCGCTGGAAACAGTCCTTAACAAAATTGAGGGCTGGGGAACGTCGGAGGGGAACGGTGGGGCCTTCCCTCCTGTGCAGAAAGACAAAGCGGGAAAAGAGGACAGATCCAAGTGGAAATGGCCGCAAGGGAAGCCCACGCTGTCCAGACCAGGTGTGTGTTGGTGGGATGGGCGGGTTCCCGAACCAGGCAACCGCCGCCGAACAGCAGGCCCGGCTCCACTGCCAGCAGCACAAGCGAGCGTGCGCGGTTGGTTGGTTGTTTTAGGCACTAAGAGGCTCCGGTGGCCTTTAGGGTTCTGATGGAAGCAAGGTGAGAGCACGGGGCAGGCTATGTTGTCCCCCATTGAAACCAAGCAAGCCATTTCACCAGCACCACAACAGTGACGGTGTTTTGTGCATGTGTGTCTGTGTCTGTGTCTGAGCAGCTGGCCCCCCACGAGGCCCGGGAGCAGCAGGAACTGAGGGCCTGCCTGCGCTGGCGTCGCCTCCAGGATGAGATGCAGAGCTCCCCCACGGAGATGCAGGTGTTAAGGTAAAACTGCGTTGTGATCTGCAGCCCTCTCGTTCCTTCTTTCCTTCCAGACATCTCCCTGCCACTGATGACATCTGCTGGGTTTCCTTTTTAAATTGAGCCGGGCGGGCTTCTCGTCCCCCGAGATGGGACGGTTATGTTCTAAGTCTTTCAGGGTGTGTGTTTTGATTTGCCTTCCGACATTTTCCTGGTGACTGTTTAGGAAAAAACTAGCATGAGGCCATTTCCGGGGGTCAGATCCTTCGTTTGAAGTTCTAATAGTCACTTTATGTGGTGGCTGCGGACGTGGCGAGGGTTGGGATTTGGCAGCCTGGCAGACAGTAACCCTGTAAAGCCAAAGGGGAAAAAAATCTTTAGGAAAATATTGATTCCTAAGTGTTTAGTGGTCACAGATGTGTGTGTCAATGGGCCCTTTTGTTTCCACCGTAGCCCGGCAGGAAGCCTCTGCTGCCCCCCGTGCAGGAGGATTCCATGGCCAGCTCCTGAGTTTTGTTTGTAGACTGTGGCTTGTGGCATGTGCAGGATTATTTCGTGCCATTTTTCCACGTGTGTCCCTCTCTGCTTCGCTCCTTTTCTTTGTAAAATGGTTATCTGAAACCTGGTGCTTAGGCTCCGGGAGCACTGCGGTTGCTGTGGCAACAGAAGCTTCCGTCCACCCCTCCTCTTGAATAGAGTCAGATGCTTGGAATCCGCCATCAGACAGGTGGGGAGGGATGGCCATCCAGGAACTGCTCCTCTCCTCGCCCCTTCTTTTTTTTTTTTAAGATGGTGTCTCACTCTGGCACCGGGCTGGAGTGCAGTGGCGGATGTCTGCTCACTCCAACTCCTAAATTCAAGTGATTCTCCTGCCTCAGCTTCCCGAGTAGCTGGCATTACAGGCGCCCACCATGACGCTCAGCTATTTATTTATTTATTTATTTTTGTGTTTTTAGTAGAGACGAAGTTTCACCGTGTTGGCTGGGCTGGTCTTGAACTCCTGACCTCAGATGATCTGCCCACCTCGGCCTCCCAAAGTGCTGGGAGTACCTTCCCGGGCAGAAGCCTGCCTTGGACGGTTCTGCTTTTTGGTTTGTTTTTAAACGAACTCCCCCACTTCGCCTGTGACTGAAGCCTAACGCAAATGCACCCGTGGGAGAGAGCTGGCCGGGACTTCTGTGCAGCACTGCAGAACGTCGGGTGTGGCAAGCTGCACCCTTCCCACGGCAAAGTTCCCTGCGCTTGCACGCTAAGGCGGCCTCCCAAGTTGACTCATCCATTGTTTCGGAAAGGCAGATCTAGTGGAGGGAAGTGGAGCGGGCCAGGAGCCAGGAGACCTGTGTTCCCGCCTCAAAGCCACTGTTCCAGCATCTGTTCCCTCGGCCAGTGCTGACTGAGCCAGGCAGGACAGCTGCCCCTGTGGCCACCGTGGACACGGCCCCTGCTCTCATGGAGCTTCCACTTAGCAGGGACATCGCTGCATGTACTGGCCGGTCACAGGTGGTGCGCAGCGCTGTGAGCGGACTGCTCGGTGATGTCCATACTGACTGGAGGGTGGCACATCAGGAGGTGGGGGGATTTCTCTCTGAAAATGAGCTGCCTTGTACGTAGCCTGGCTGAGGCGGGAAAAGCCTTAGTGTGCCTTAGGGATAGAAAGAAGGGCAGTGTGGCTGGAAAGGGGACTGAGGGCAGGGGCAAGAGAGGCAGGCAGGAGCCAGGTCCCACGAGCCTTTCTCCAGGTTCTCGGAAGCTGCTCTGGGGCCTTCGGCAGGAAGGTGTGTGATCTGCTCAGTGTTTGTGCAGTGCTGCTGTGTGGAGAGCACCACAGGCAGCCGACGGAAAGCCAGCAGAACGGTTGCAGCCTTGCAGTAGTAGTCCATGCGAGAGGCCCTGGGGTGCCGGTGACAGATGCAAGACGCAGACCTATTTGAAATGTGTTTTGGCCATGGAACCAGCAGGCCTTGGTTGATTGAATGTGGAGAAGAGGAAAATGAATGTATCCAGAATGACTTTGAGGTTTTTTGAGTTGAACAGTTGGGTAGATGGTGATCCCATTTATGTGATGGTAAAGACATGGGGAGGAGCTTGGAAGGAAAGTGAAGTTTCCAGCTTTGCATGTGTTAAGTTTGTGATGACCAACAGATATTCAATAGGATGAACTTGGGAGACTGCAAGTCAGGAGCTCACTGGAGAGGCTGGAACATTGAGCCTATAAAACCCCTTAAATCCTGAACACAGTGGAATCCCCAGGGAGAGAGGAGAGTGAGAGAAGAGGTCACGGGGAAGAGGGGGAGCCAGCAGAGGAATCTAGGGAAACCGTTACGTGTTTCCCCAGAGAAAATCAGGGCTCCAGGGCCATGGAGGCCAGAAAAGAAGCTGAGGCAAGCAGGTGGGAGTGGCTGATGTTGGCAGCTGCCTGGGGGATGAAGGGGGTGAAGGAGAGAGAAGTGGGACGACATGGGTGGTGGAGAAGGAAGCCAGGCTGAAGTGGACAGGAAGCGGGGCTGGTGACTGTAGGCTCCGTGAGACGGTTGTGCTGGCCCAGGAAGCAGAACTGGAAAGGCAGCAGAGGGACATGAGGGCCAGAGAGGTTTGCTTTCAGTCGGGCGCCCAGGAGCATGCTTACCGACGAGCCGCCTCACTGCGCAGATCCCTTCACCCTCAAAGGCTCGGGCCCTCCACCTGAGAGGTCATCTCCATTCTCCACGTCTCTAAGTCCCTTTGATCCCTTTGGTTCTGCATAACCGTAGTCCTTCAGTGGGGGGTAGAGGTATCATAATGAAGATGAGTTTTGATGAACTGTGTTTCCAACTTGTAAGCAAGTTAGACCGCACCCTGGGAAGTCGGTTCACACACGAGGAGGGCCTCATCTCTGGCTTCCCTGGAGCCTGAGTCAGCCCAGCTTCTGATGGCCAAGATCTTTTCCTTTGTGTGTGGAGCTGGGAGAACAATCTAGTATTTTTAGACCTTTGTGCTAGACGGCTTTTTATGGCATTTGCTTTTCTTTGTCTTAGTGTTCAGAAATTTTGTTTGCCTAAATTTAGGCTAACCATGAATTGACTGCATTTGAAAGGCTTATTGCACATCAGTAAGGAAAATACTGTTATCAGATGCACTTACAATGAGGAGGAAATGTGTCCGAACCTGCCCTGAATTATATAGTCTAAGTCTCGTTCACTCCCATCCCCTAGAATTCTCCCTGAAATGGACTCAGAGAACCTGGAAATTATTGAAAGTAAAAGGAAGAACCAGACTTGTAAAAATTTGTTCTCAGATTTTGTTTTCAACGAGACCTTGGGAAAGAAGTCCCTTAAAAACAATCAGAGGTGCTATCTTGTTTTTTCTTCCAAGATGCCCCATGGTCTTGAAATGATGGACCAGAACAATGTAAAAGTCTGAGTTTATGTCTCAATAGGTTTCCACATGTTGGCGGACACAGTGGAAACTTCTCTTGAGATCTTTGCCACACTGTTCAACATGTCTGACCAGTCTCCTAAAAATGCTTTCTCCTTGAAGCACTTTCTCCTCCTGGCTTCTGTGTGTCTTACTCTCCTTGAGTTCCCTCTGCCTCTGTAGCCAGTCCTTCCTCACCTCTCTTGCTGGCAGGTTAACAGTCTCAATGGCCCAAGGCTCAGAAAGACTGAATAAGATGTCTGACCTCCTCTGGCTGATAAAGAAGAGAACAGGGATTTAAACCCAGGGACTGAAACTCTTCTGTTTCCCTATACCACATTCCTGTCTTCAGGGAACTGAGAGAGCATTTAGTTGCATTTAAAACAAAACAAAACAAAACAAAACAAAACAAAACAGAAACCTGCAGGAATCTTGGGCTCTGGAAGGACATACAGGTCAGGGTGAAATGTATGCTTAGTCCAGGCGTCTTTTGTCTTTTCACACATGAAGCATGTGTCTTATTATTTTAAAAGATACTGAGAAAAAGGAAAACTCAACATTCTCTTGATTATAGATAGTGGAGCATTAACAAAGTGAGAAGAGAAAAACTAAAATTTTGTTTGGCAATGATTTATTAATTTCAGTAATTGATAAGAACAGCTTTCCATTTGTGCCTTCCATCCACCCACTGAGTCGCGGTCTCACCAAATGTTTCTGCTTTTCTTTTCTTTTCTTTCTTCTCTTTTTTTTCTTTCTTTTCTTGACACAGTCTTGCTCTGTTGCCCAGGCTGGTGTGCAGTGGCGTGATCTCTGCTCATTACAACCTCTGCCTTCTGGGTTCAAGGGATTCTCCTGCCTCAGCCTCCCAAGTAGCTGGGACTATAGGCAGGTGCCACCATGCCTGGCTCATTTTTATATTTTTGGTAGAGACGGGGTTTCACCATGTTGGCCAGGCTGGTCTCGAACTCCTGACCTCAGGTGATCCGCCCGCCTCGGCCTCCCACAGTGGTGGGATTACAGGCTGAGCCACTGTGTCCGGCCCAGATGTTTCTTAGATGGACTTTGTTGTGCTTCCTTTGCATCAGATGTGTCTGAGATTGACTTGCTGGTAAGTCATTCGTTACAGGTTTCTTGTGTTTTCCTGGCCTTCTCAGCCTTCATTGGCTGGAGAGCCTGTAATGTGGCTACAGACTTCTGAGGCAAGACGATCTGCTCAGTTTCGAAATGTCAGGGATCACATACCACTTTTCATTTGTTAATTATTGAAGTTGTCTTTTCCACACATGAGACCCCAAGGACTCTCCCAGACTCTTCCTCTCCTCTCTGGCCCCGGACAGAACTCTTCCCCAGGCAGTCTGCTTTCAGTGTTCCTTTCTGCCCTGCCACTGCTCAGCTCTCTCCTGTCATCCGTCCCCTGCCTACAAGGTCCCCTCCTGACCTGTGCAGCGGTGGCGGCTCTAGCCGGAGATGCACGGGGCTTCTGAAAGGCCCGCCATGCCTCCTGTCTCCAGGGTGCAGCTGGATTCCGGCAGCTTCTGCCTAAGTGCTTTCAGTCAGCACACTGTGACAGGCCCCAGGGATGGAAGAGCTAAGGTGGCAGGGTCAGAAGAAATCTCTGTTGGTTTTTATCG